CATGAGAAATTCTTCAAGTCATGAAAATTATTCATCGAAGTGTGTTGCATCCATTTGAAGCGACGTGAAGCAGCGCCGTCGTCGTCGAATATTAAAATGGCCGCAGAGCATAAGAAAAAATTAAATGTTTGCCTGATAATTTTTCGATGTTTTACGATAATGTTGCCGTGAAAAATCAGTCAGGTTTGATCTTTATCCCCGTCACTCGACCGAAGACCAAGAACGAAAAAAAACCAACATAAAATTTGTTCTTTTTATGGTCGATGGAAGTTTGCAAATAAAAAAGAAGTGGCTCACAATCAAAGCGTACCTCTTCGTAAATAATCCATCAAGTGGTTGAAAATCTTTCTTAAACTTTCAATCAGGTTCTCTGCCCTCACTTACCTTGCATTTGTGTGTGTGTGTGTGTGTGTGTGTGTGTTTTTCGTCGGTATGTTCCGCTTGAGTTGGTTGGTTCGTGGTTTTGAATTATGGCTGTTCTTAACGGCATGAGTAAGAGTATTCCAAGGCTTGATTTTCATTTTTCATCAACGAAAAACTTTTTTCTCTTCTTCGCTTGACAACTTCAGCATGAGCTTCAGATATCAAATCATAATTTTATGTCATAAAAGCGAAGAAAAAAATTCATGGCATCCAAATAAATTACATTCTCCAAAGTCTCAACGCAGAAAATGCTGAAGAAAACTTAATTCTTATGCGAAAATCTGCAGTTTTTTCATCATAAAAATGTTCTAGTTTCTTTTTTTGGTAACAAGTGATGCTTGTCCACAACACAAGATTTTAAGAAGTTCACAAAGTTGCATCTAGCTGAAACGAAAGAATCAGCAACATGTCACAGAAAAGCAGTGTCAAAGACAAAAGAACGCAAATGAATAAGAAGACACACGATAAAAAAAACAGAAATAATATGCATAAATATGCGACATGACGAAAATACCTTCAGAATGGAATTAATGGGACGAAAAACCCCGAGAAGAAGACGGAAGAAAACCCGCACCAAAGATGAAAATGACAATGAAGATAATAAGAGGAAAAACTTTCAACAGTTGGCGATATACATTTTACGCCGCTGGGAATTAAAAAGTTTTTCACGAAGTCTGATTAAATAGCTTTGTGTGCGAGTGTGTTTGCAGTTTTGTGGTGTGTGTCACAAAGTAAATGCTCTTTTGATATTATGATTATTTCTGTTTATGATACTACCCTCCCCCTCAGTCCCTCTCTCTCTCTCTCTCTCTCTCTCTCTCGCTCTCTCTCTCTCTCTCTCTCTCTCTCTCTCTCTCTCTTGTTAAACGACCGAAATGAAAATGAACATGACATCAATTTCAACCCCAATGACCACCACCAAACCGAACTCCGTCGCCGCCACACTGGGCCATTCAAACTTTGCATTCAACGACCGCACTTAACTTTCCGTAAAACATCACATTTTCATGCAAAATTAATGATTTTCTTTTGATTTTTGGCATGTTTTGAATGTCCTTCGGTTTGCGTTGAGGTTCATTCACTTTCTTTAATGAGAAAAATTGCGCTCTTTCAATTTTATGGTTTGGGTCGCATATTTCTGGAGTATTTTTATGTCCATTTTCAGTTAGTTTTCATTGAAAAAAGAGAATGCTTCGCAATTTTCATCATTTCATGTTCAAGAAAAGTAATTTTGAGTAGGTATGATTTCTGTGGTCACCTTCAGATTATCAGTGGAAAAAAAACTGGTATAGAATAAGCTGGTGCATGACAAATCCACAATTTTCCCCATTAAATGGAGCCGTTCTTCCCAAATAAATAAAGTTGTGCGTTAGAAAAGTTCACCATCATTCAAACAATAAGCGTAATTATCACGTACAAGCAAGGCAATTAAATGTGTATCGACAACAATTCCGCAGCCAGAGCAGTTATCACGATTGATGTATATTTCCTAAACAAGACGCTGGATGGCAATATTGCACTGTGATTACGAGTCCAATCTTCATTTTCCTACCTCCTTCTCAATGAGAAGTCCTCATACACAACACCGAATGGTTTTCCTAGTTGTTTTTTCCTCATCCTCATGCATCTCCGTCTCCGAAAATAGTGAAATCGTAAACATAAAGTACCATCGAAGTACATGGGCCAATACACAAAAGGCTCATGAATCACGTGAAAAAAAAAGAATGACAGCAACATTCGACTGCATGAGAATAAAACAGTGAAATGAATTCGTCTCTGAAGGACACTTACGACAGTTTTACTGTGCAGAACAAAAGCATTGAACGCCCGAAAGGAAATGGCATCGACACACGAAATGAGACAGGAGCAGATTTTGGGGGCAACAAACGACGGAGCGAGAAAAAAAGGAAATGAATAAACAGTGTCGGCGAAGAGCGTGAATATTGCATTTTGCACTTGACGTTTTGTTTATATCGTATTGCGAGTCGCAACTTACTCGACTATATAGTAATAAAAAGAAAAGCTACAACACGCAGCGAGTTGTTCATAGGCGAAGCGGAGATTGGGATTTTTTTCTGTTCCTAGCTTACATCATATACAAGTACCATCTCATTTGTGCTGTGAACATTTTACTTTGTTTTTGCCAAAAAAAAAGAGAAGAGAATTTACGAGTAAAAAGGCGGTAAAGTGTAAGACACTACAAAATGGTAAAATGGTGAACTCCACTTAGTCGAGGGATATGTTCCCAAAACATATTCAGTTAGTTTATTCGTCGTTTTTTTTCTCCATCATCTCTGCTGCGGATCAACATTGGAAAGCTTTCACACTTTTGCAATTTTACCGCCTTTAATGGTGCGCTTTCTTCATTTCAAGTGTTTCTCACCATTGCGCGCATAGTGCCTTGAACGGTATCTAGAAAATTATCTGTGTGTTTGTTTTTTTCTTCTGCTTGATGTATAAAATATTCCACAGAAATATTTTGTGCCTGCATTACGGCTTAAAGCCGCATACACACACACACAAACTTATATAGATTCACCATCTGAAATTGAAAGGCAAATAACAAACGAGCTGGGAAGGAAATGGTATGAAAATACTGACGGAAAAAAGCAGTTTCATTCTGGTGCCGCTTCGAAGGTAAACATTTCAAATTGATATCGAACGCTATCGTTCCAATAAAATGTTGAAAATTGCTGTCAATTTATGGAAATTGCCGCATGATATTGACAGAAACCCATTTGCGGCCCACTTTTTTAAGAAATATTTTAATCCGGAGAAAACTACTTTCTTGCTTACATTGAGCAGCAAATAAGAAAAAATCGACTTGCTCTTGGTTTGTAAATTTATACGTTTTCGTTGAAACAGCAATCCAGAAAACTATTCGACCTGAAGCGAATCTCCGGAGAAAAAAACTTTCTCACCTTGCTGTCAGATGCACACAAATTGTTCGATTTATTCATTCGCTTTTTTTTCTCTTTCAATTCGTTTTGTTGGCAAAATCCAAATTCATTTCCGTGCAATTTTCCGCATATAATTGTAAATTCATGGCATTGCGTCTGCCCGAAATTTAAATAACATAAAATCCATGCCACGAATGCGCTTAGAGAAAATCCAAAGCGTGAAAATCATTTTATCCAAGATCTGAGTCGCTGTCACTAGGAAGAAATAACGTCTTGAAAGGAGAGAGTGAGAGAAAAGACTCAGTCTTCCTAATGCCATTCATTCAACATTTCCACTATGTAAATGCATTAAAATGTTTTGAGTCGTCGTAATTCTTTTCGGTTGTTGTTGTCTGCCAACATCGCCATCATCGCCATCACCACTACCACCGCACGAAGAAACCAATGAAATGATTCTTGTGTTAAGCGATTCACAATGTCGGCATTAAAATTACCGTATATATCACACGTTGGCTCCAAATTAAAATCTATCTTTTTTCCATTAGTTAGTCTAACCTTGAACACGAAATAATTTCAAAATGTTTGCCGCTAAAGATGGTGCTCATAATTTCCTACAAATGTGAAAGAGCCTGTGAATTACTGCGTCTTGCAATTACATGTGTGTATGTGTGTGTCTGTGTGCGAAAAAAGGGGCGAATACACAACATTCCCTTATTTTCATCCACTTCTCGTATCTTTTCGTTTGTTTCTTCGAAAAGATTTGTGTTGATTTTGTTGTTTAATATTATTTTCGTTGTTGAATTGCTTCGCCACCTTTGCTATAATGCGCATTAAAATACCAATGGTGAATCAGATAACGAGCATGGTGCAAAGAAAACGCAGAAAAATTCCCCGTTTCAAAATCGTGATGGTATTTGAAGAGGTGCTGCTACCGTTGCTGATGTTGTTGTGTTTTTTTCCATTTTGTTTGTTGCAAGCACCGAATATGCGATGCTGCTTTTTGTGGGGTGCATAATACTCTCTCTTTCACTCTCTCGTACGGTGCGTGCATCTTTTTTTTTTCATGCGCTGAATTTGTATCAGACTTGTATATCTTAACACCACTCTTTATCAACTGTATTTAATGAGTTTAATTAAAATTCATGAATTTTTGATGCAAATAAATTAACGAGTGTGTATTCGAGACAACTTGCAGTTAATTTAATACAGTTGCTGGTTGTTGTTCTTTTTTCCTCATTTCTCCTCGCGCGCAAAGGTTGCGCTGGTGCTTGAACTCGTGGTGTGTGTGTGTTTTCTTTGCCACTACTTCAGCTTTCGTTCATTTTGTTTGTATACATTTTCGTTTTAGCTTAGAGTTTGTGCCGAGAAAATTCTCCATTGCCATGGTGGAATCTATTTAACGTACATTTACAGATAAAATTGATAAGAGCTGAACGAAACTGCTATCGGTTTTTGTTTACTTTGACTGTTTTGCCATTAGATTCGCGATGCACGGGTGTATGCAAAACACAGCGACTTTTATTTAAATTCATTTATAATTCATGCTTTTTGGGGAAGTGCTTTGCACTGCAAATTCAAATAAAGCTTTTCTCACACAGAACCCCCTTTCAAATGACTGTTTATACTTTGGAAATTTCCGTAGAGAAACAAATCGAGAATGATAATAAGCTTAACAAATCTAAAGGAGTTCTACTTTAAAACCAATAAATAAATCTTTATTTAATAAACTTTATACAACAATAACGACACACAGTTATTGTGGCTCATTGTAAATTCAGAGATTGTTCACCGTGTTCCAGCACTTGGCGCACATTCACATTGATACGACAATCGGTGATGTAGTTGGCAAATGGTTGCCATTGCTTCGGATCGGCAATACTCGTCCAAAGACTTTCAACAAACACGTCGTTGTATTCATTTTCACTTGGTGAGGTCAGTCGGCGTTTTTTATGATTTTTGTTGTCTCCGTCGGAATCAACGTCTTCCTCATTTTCGGTTGTGATTGTTTCTTGTTCTTTGGAATTTGATTCATCTGTTTCATTCAATGGTGAATTCACCCAGTTGACGTCTGTCTTCATGATTCTTGGCACGGCATGGTAACACAAACGACTTTCCTTTGACATACACTGTTGGCGAAGAAATATGACGATTTTCAGAGGGAAAAATAGAACAATTTTCAGAAATTTCTTGAAAAAAAACAAATTCCATAATAAAAAGAAGTTTTTGAAAATGTCAATTAGTGAAAAGTTTGAAAAAACATGGAGAATTACCACGATATCGCCACTTTTAAGGAACATTGCTGACGCTTCTTCTTCTTTAGTTTTGCCACCGAGCATGAATATAGCCGTTTGTCCGAAGCTATTTGAAAAAAGGGAAATTTTTTGTGAATTTTCTGGTGCATCAAGCTTCATCGGCCTAACTAATGGCTTATTATGGAAAATATATTTTTCCAAGTTCAAAATTTGTGAAACTGAGCAAATTTCATTCAAATCACCTTATTGAAAAGAGTGGAGCTTCTAGATTTTTTTCCGAATGGTCGGTATGCCCAGCAAGTGTTGTTCCCAATGGATAAAAATTGACGATAGCTGCTTCTGCAGAATATTCGCCCAGCCCCAGAACTTCGGCAAAATATTCGTTAAGTTTCGCTAAATCGTCTGGAAATTTGTGTCTTTTTTCCTCTGCATATATTTTTGTATCCCAATCGTGATGATAGCCAAGTGTTGTCCATCTCATTCCGTTTTTGAGTCGTATTTTCTCTTTGTCATCGCGGCTTTGGTTGACTTTTTGCAGTGAATACCACCAGTCATCAATGATATCTTTGCTGAAATATTTTTCGTTCAAATTGACTACATGCGGAGCCTTTGGATAATCTTGTAAACAACGTGCGATCCAATATCGTTGGCCACGAATGGTGAATGGGTTTCGAATGAAAATCAGCCCCGGGCGATTTTTGAGTTCACAAATTTGCCATTGATCAACTGGTATGAGGCCTCGAATACGATATTTATCCGGGTTTTTTACTTTTTTCGGTGAATTAACGATAATTGCCTGCAAAATGAAATAAATCAGGTTCAATTGTTTGTTTTCATTGCAAATCATAAAGTCACATTCATACTTACATCTTTGTCAATTGTATCAAAGTCAATGACTTTTTCATACGTTGGCGGCGGACACTTTGATTTGTAATATTTAAACGTTTCTTTGAACATTTTTAAAGCCGAATCACAACGTAAAAATAAAGAAAAATTGAAAATATAAAATCGGACTCGTGTTTGTTGACATGATTTTACAATCAAGTTGAACTGTCAAATGCTGGAATATTGCGGTGACTCGTGCAAGTGTGAACACACTTCATGTTTTCTTCCAGTGGAAATTTGACAGTTCACACACTGACGTTTCTCTCGCCACATTTGACAAATGCAGTGAGAAAACACATTTTCAGCGAACGAGACCAATCTTTTGAGTTTATATTATAAAATTGAAGAAAAAAGGAAATATTTTGCGGTAAAAGTCGTTTTGTAATCGGAAAATTTATTGGATAATTTAGAAAATGACGCAACGAGAAGCAGAATTAAGTGAAACCCACAGAAGAGCACCCATGGATTTTGGCGAGCTTCGAAATGACACAGACTTTATTACAAAGTCCACCAATTTGGAGAAAGTAAGCATTTTTCGGTTGTTCCATTTGATTTACTGAAATTTTAACTGTCTTTAAAATGTTGAATGAATAATTCAAGACGTCAGTTTTGGATGTCGTACAAAAATGAACAACAAAATCAGTTGAATTCCTCGAACAGTTCTGACTTCTTTATTTCTATGTGTTACAGTCATTGGATGCAATCGATGAACAAATTTCGGCCGCCTGTGATTTTCCAAACTACGATGATTTAAGCACCGAAGACAAGGTCAAATACGATTTGTACTTGTCGTATTCAATCAATTCACTCTACTGGATGTACTGCAAACTTCAGGCCATCGATGCAAGTTCGGTGAGTTGGTTTTTTTTGAATTTGTTGCTTTATGAGCAATTTTTTGGATCATTTGCTTTGAAATATTGATCAACTTTTTGTTCACGCAATTGAATTAACAATTATTTCATCTCTTATAGAATCCAATCCGGAACGAGATATCACGAGTTAGACAGGCAATCGTACGAGACAAAGATATTTACGAGCGAAAAACAAAGCGACCAGTTTTGGATAAAGGTGCTGCTGGCCGATTCATTCGACATGGTTTACACGAAAAACGACCCACCGACAAAGAGCTGCTCGGACCAAAACCCAAACACAAACGTTTCAACGAAGACGATTAATTTGATTTATTGCATTTTCAACGTTTTTTTTTTCTAATTAAAACATGTGAATTAAGCTTAATGTAAGAAAGTTCAATTTTTTTATTGTGCATTTAAATTCATACAGTAAAGATAGACCGTGAATTAATCCAATGCCATTCAGCGACGGTGTTTTATTTGTTGGTCGTTTGTTTTTTAAGTTGGTAAAATTTTTGAGCCAATTCTTTGACTTTCGATCGAATGATTTTGCCAGATGGTGTCAATGGGAATTCGTCAACGAAGTAAACGCCACCGTCAAGACGCTTGTAGCTGACCATTTGATCTGGATATGAAAAGAACAATTAAGTTGCCCAGATTGAATATTTGTTATTTGGTTTCCATTTTATGGATACTAATCAAGCAACAATCTTACCGGCAACAATCGCATAAACGTCATCCACTGTAACTGAACTGTCATCTTTCTTGATAACAACCGCAGCCGGTAGCTCCGATACAATTTTATCATCATAAACACTCACAACTGAAACATCTCGAATGGCTGAGTGTTTCAGAATGATATTCTCGAGTTCACCTGGCCAAATGGCGAATCCGCGGCATTTGAAAATTTCTTTTTTCCTTCCGATTATGTACAACCGCCCGGTTTCATCAAAATAACCTAGATCACCACTGATAAAGTATCCTTCGTTATCGTATGCATTTCGAGTGGCCGCTTCATCTTTATAGTATCCCATTGGTGGTATCGGAATTTTGATACATATCTCACCCTCTTCGCCGATTCCACATTTTTCGCCAGGGTTTTGATTGATGATTTTTATTTTAGCCCCGATCATCAAACGGCCAGACGATTGTGGATACTCCTCCAACTCATTTGGCACGGTGCAAGTAACACCACCACAGACTTCAGTCATCTTGAAAAAAAGGGGAAAAAACAATCGTCATATAAACTGCTTACTTGAAATTTTGATATAAGTCAATAGAGATGACATTTACCCCGTAAGCTGTCATCAGGATACATTTTGGGATGACCTTTTTCAACGTTTGGAGTAATGTGGGTGGCAAAGTACTTCCAATCAAGAAGCACAACCCAATTGATGACAAATCAGCATTCACACACCGTTCACTTGTCAGAATCGCTTGCATTTGACATGGCGGCCCTGAAAAGAATTGAAACTGAAAAAGGGAAACGAAAAATAAACCAATACATGAATAAAATCGATGAACTTCAATTAAGTTTATGCTGATGGATTGGAGCAGAAATTAAAGATGAGACCATTTTTACCTTATACTTCTCCACAAAATCGAAGAATAAATCTGGTGAAAATGGTTTCGTTGTGAAGATACGAGTGACTGTGGTCGCAGAGGACAACATTGCCAAAATGCCTGACAGCCAATACATTGAGCTGAAATTCAAAGTGATGAGTTTGGATCCAAATTTTTGTACTTTTTGTGTGAAGGTGAAGACCGCGTGACTCAAACAAATCGACTTTGGCAAACCGGTTGAGCCCGAAGAACATGAGATGACAACAGCATGCGAAAATGCATCGTCTATCTTCGAGCAGCTGAAATTAATACAATTTTAGAGTTTCACCCAATTTATTCTTCATAATTTAATTTTCATTTTATATTTTGAAAACAAAAGTGGGACAAGCACCGGTTCGGACATTGAAATGTGTAAGATAAATATGCAAAGCATGGCCGCGTGCGGACGACCACTCGACGAACGTATCAACGGGAGATCGTGCATTGCGAGACGCATGCGTAAGTGTGTGTATGAATACAGTAGACAGCAAACAACGATGGCTCTGTTGATACGTTCATCGCACGGTCGTCCGTACGCGTCTATGCTTTGCGTTTTTATACTGTATAAAACATCTAGGTAAATATATTTCTATGTCCGAACCGGTGCTTGAAGTGGGAAAACCTACACAAACGAGTCCTCTTCGCCAGTTTCATTCATCAAACTGTCAATTGATTCGTAGGCATCGGCCGATCCATTTACGGTGAAAAACTTTGAGCTAAAGCCCATATTATTGACGATTTCTTTGACTGAGTCCAACACATCGGCATCGCCGAAAATGAACGATGGTCTCAATCTATCAAGAAGAACGTCAATTCCGTCTGAAAATTACACATCACGACAGAATGTTTACATTGATAATTTTATTGATAACAAGCTTGAACACAAGCATTCTTTCCGAACATACTTTGAACGGAAAATGCCGCACACTTGAAACCTTAACTCAAATATTTCAATGAAAATATTTTTCATATCTTGTTGACATTTACACACAATACATAATTGACATTTTCTCTAAATTTTTTATTATTTCTTTCTAGACAACAACCGCATCCGGTAGCTCTGATAAAATTTCATCATCATAAACACAAACAATCTTTCGATTAGTTTCAAAGTGCAATTGTTCATACTAGCAATAATACGAACCTTTGACAATCAGAACATCGAACGGGCAAATTGGGGAACCATTGAAAATAGCTCCGTACAAAAGTGGCGTCAAGTTGTGGTGATTTCGTGCGACAACGCCAATGCAATCATTTTGTGTGCATCCTAGCTTTGCTAAGTTTTGAGCACATCGTATTGAACGAATGCGTATTTCACTTTTGGTCATTGTTTCACCCGTGTCACCGTTAATCTGATTGGAAGAAGAAAATAATGATCACTGAAACGTGTTTTTTTTCTATTGTCACTGAATATTTACTTGTGCCACCAATTCTGGATCCGATTTCAGTTTTTCTAATAGAAATTCACCAAAATTTTCATGTTTATTAACTACAACGTCACTGCTTGGACCCGACCAAATTTTATTGACATCATCAAAATGCGTAGCTACATTCATTTTTGGTTTTTTCATGTTCAGCGGTCTCTTCTTTACTGACAGTCTATGTTTATTCGCTCAATTTCACACTGTCACGCTCACCAAGTCACGGTCCACTTAATACAGTTTGTGCTTGTGTTGGTTGTTTATTTCATTATCTCAAGTACCATCAAGTACTCAATATCGACATTGATCGATTGGAAAAAAGAGAATGTAAATATTTTGTTCTGAACAGGTTTGATGACTGCATTTTTAATCGTAATTAAATTTTTTATTGCTTTATTTGTGTTATTTTTATCGTACAGAGGTATTTGTAACTGTTTATTTACTATGATTAAATTGGTGTTGGTTTTCATGATTTCTGACTCAGTTTCCGTTGTTGATAAATATTTTGAGTGATTTCTTTCACCTTTGGCCGAATTATTTTGCCAGATGGCGTCATAGGCAATTCATCGACAAAGTAAACGCCACCGTCAAGCCGCTTGTAGCTGGCCAATTTATCTGGATATAAATTAAATTCCAGAAAAAAAAAACATTAATGACTAAACTTTTGGTTTGATGTGAAATTCTTACCGGCAATAATTGCATAAACTTCATCTTCTGTAATTGAATGGCTCTCTTTCTTGACAACAACCGCAGCCGGTAGATCTGACATAATATCATCGTCAAAAACACTGACGACAGAAGCATCCTTGATGGCTGGATTATTCACGATGAGGCTCTCTAGTTCTGCCGGCCAAATGGCGAAACCGCAATTTTTAAAAATCTCCTTCTTTCTTCCGATAATAATCAATCTACCGGATCCATCGAAATAACCCAAATCACCACTGATAAAATATCCCTCTTTATCGAATGAGTTTCTTGTGGCTGTTTCATCTTTGTAATAACCCACTGATGGCATTAGAGTTTTTATATAAATTTCGCCTTCTTCACCAATTCCACACTTTTCGCCGGTATTTTCATTGATAATCTTTATTATGAAACCCGGCACCAATCGGCCACCGGAGTTTGGCTGTTCTTCCAATTCATTTGGCAGGGTACAAGTGGCGCTGCCGCAGACTTCAGTCATCTTTAAAACAACGAAAAAACACTCGTCATTCAAACTGCTTACTTAAAATTTTGATTAAGTCAACAGAGACATTTACCCCGTATGTTGTGAGCAGAAGACATTTTGGGACGAGTTTCTTCAAAGTTTGAACCAAAACGGATGGCACAAAACCACCAACCGAAAAACATACCAACAACGATGACAAATCCGCATTCTCACATCGCTCACTTTTCAAGAAGGCTTGTATTTGACACGGCGGACCAAAGAAAAATTGCAACTGATGAAAAGAAATCATGGAAATAAACACAACACAAATAAAAAACTATTATCTGCATAAATTGTATGATGTTTTGTATTTTTTGCAATTTTCCTTTGAGATGATCTAAACACGAATGGCAATTTCAATGAAGCAAATAAAAAGAATTACATTGTAATCCCGAACTTTTCCGTACCGTTGGCCTGCGTTGTCCGTAGGTACTTTTGGTTATTTTTTGTGAATTTTCTTCAGCCTCTCTGATCGTCTGTATAAACAGATAGGAAACGTCAAACAAGAAAAACAGAGCGGCACCTGGAGACTGGTGGGAAAAATAGAGAATCATTCATATAGATTGCTATAACAAGTATGCATCTGTGTTAGTGCGTCTGTGTTAGTTCGAACGTTGAAAATATGACACATTGCACTTAGTCCCCAGGCGGCGCTGTATTATTTATTTTTTTCATGATCAGAAGGGCTGATTTTCTTGAAATAAAGGCAGTGAAAATAAAATAATAAAAATAAAGTGAAAAATCGGTCATTTTAACTAAAACTTCGACAATTCTGTAGAGAGGTACCCGTAAACCGATGCTCATTGGCTTTAAACTTTCTGAGGTTTCATTTGTTGGAGAAAAAATAAGACGGTATAATACATTGAAAATTGCAAATGTGCCGTTTATGACCCAAAATTGAGCATCGATGACTCATCGATACTGAGGACAGCTAGTTCACTTTGAATAGTCAAATATACATATGTGCAGATGGCGCTGTAAAATCGTTCAAAAGTCAATGTTGCAGCCTCCCAATCGTGTCACTTCGTCGTTAGAACCTATTTTATCTTGTACTTCTCCACAAAGTCAAAAAATAAATCAGGTGAAAATGGTTTCGCTGTAAAGACACGAGTAACTGTTAATGCACATCTTAACATTCCCAGAGTGCCTGCAATCCAAAACATCGAGCTGAAACTGAAAGCGGTGTGTTTGGATCCGAGGAATTGCACTTTGAGTGTGTGGATGAAGTGCGCGTGACTTATACCAACCACTTTTGGCATACTGGTTGATCCTGAAGAACATGAGATGACTGCAGCATATGAAAACGCATCCTCTATCTTTGATTAGCTGAAATAAATACAGTTTTTAAGTTTCTACCAATTCATTTGCCACAATTGAATTTTCATTTTATGTTTTGAAAATAACCATTAATGGAAAAACCTACACGAACGAGTCCTCATCGCCAGTTTCATTCATCAAGCTGTCAATTGATTCGTAACCATCGGCCCATCCATTTACGATGAAAAACTTTGAGCTAAAGCCGATATTATTGACGATTTCTTTGACTGAGGCCAACACATCGGCATCGCAAAAAATGAACGATGGTCTCACTCGATCAAGAAGTACGTAAATTCTATCTGAAAATTACACATCAAGACAGAACCTTTTAATTGATAATTTTATCGATAGCAAGCTTGAACATAAACATTCGTTCCGAACATATTTTGAACGGAAAATCCTGCGCAATCAAAAACCCCAACTGGAATATTTCAATGAAATTCATTCTAGTTTCACATGTCTTGTTAACCCTTTATCACATTTCGGTTCCTAAAGTAACCAGATACGCCAGACGCTATAGCTATGAAACCACTGAATATTTTTACATTCTTGTTTGGAAACAAATGTAGGGAATTGAACTAGCTTTCATTTGATACTTTACAAGCTACAATTGGCTGGCTGAATGGAAAGTTTTTTCTGTTCATGTACTGCTGTAAAAAAAATGCGAAATTATAACAGAATTCCACATTTTTCCTCCTCTTATCTTGTGGGTTTGTTCATTCTTTTCAATTGTCAAATTAGGACTCGTAGGACCAAAACACATCAATTTAACTTTCTTTAAATTAGTTTTATGAAATTTAATTTTTTAAAGCTTTTATAGTGATTTGACACTTTTGACTCTTTTCCGATTTTCTCGACAAATACGCAATTTTTCAAAAATCTAAGTATGAGGTTTTTCTCTATTTATCGTGGCACAATACATATGTCAAAATCAGTGAAGAACCAATTAGCTGGCTAATTAGCCGCATAAGTGTATACTGGCTAACGAATGTGTAGACCAGTGAGAAAACTTCAGTAAGAACTGAACGCACTCATCTTAATTGACGTTTGCGATTGACATTTAAATCACCAGATCAGAGTTCAAATGAAACCAAACATCGACATTTTTTATTGAGTTTTTGAAAAAAAAATAACTCAAATTATAAAAATGACTTTTAAATTGAAAATTAATTGAAATATATTAATTTTGTTCAAAATTTGTATGATTTGAATCAGAATACGCAAATCAAAAATTATTGTACTTTGAATGTACTCATTTCACACAGATAGCTGGCTAACGATTGGCTTACACCAGTTGTTGGTGTAAGCCAAGGCTAAGACAATGCTGGCTAACGAAAAACCATCACTGGTCAAAATGATTCAAAAACAAAAAATTGTGCATCAAAGGGTTAACATTTACACATGAGTCTTTCGATTAGTTTCAAAATGCAATTGTTCAAACTAGCAATAATACGAACATTTGACAGTCAGAGCATTGAACGGGCAAATTGGGGAACCATTGAAAATAGCTCCGTACAAAAGTGGTGTCAGGTTGTGGTGATTTCGTGCTGAAACGCCAATGCGATCATCTTGTGTGCATCCCAACTTTGTTAAGTTTTGAGCACATCGTATCGAACGAATGCGTAGTTTACTTTTGGTCAATGTTTCACCCGTGTCACCGTTAATCTGATTGAAAGAAAAAAATAATGATCACTGAAACGTGATTTTTTCTTTTGTCACTGAATATTTACTTGTGTCACCAATTCTGGATCCATTTCAATTTTTCTAATAGAAATTCACCAAAATTTTCATATTTATCAACTACAACGTCGCTGCTTGGACCCGACCAAATATTGGTAACATCATCAAAATGTGTAGCTCTCTTCATTTTCGGTTGTTTTTCAAATTAAAGAAGAAACAAGACAGAAAATATCAAGCGAAGACAGACGAGTGACTATGACTTTTTCTTTCTTTCTTGACTTTTCTGAATTTGCTATGACTTTTTCTTTCAATGTATGAGTGATATTTTCGGAACGGGTAGAATTAGATAATTGTCCAACTGATAACCTATCATCAAATATGTAATGCCGATAACGATTCAGTTTGTACATTGAAGTGGCACTTAGTTATAGAAATATTTCTCGGTGAAACTTTGATGGTTTAGTTTTCAAAGACTATATTTAACCACAAAATCACTAAATATAGAGACCCACAAATCGTCGGAGGTCACTTTTATTCTAACCGGTTCACATGAAGTAACTCAGTTGAACTACAATCCACCTACTTTTGAATATCGTTCTTTGTTGCTTATCATTTACAGATTTATTATGACCTTTATAATGGAGCTCAAACTGACTGTTTTTGTATAACCTCCAACATTGCGTGAACAATAAAAAAAAGAGTCAAAATGTTCATGATAAAAACATAAGACAATGTCAACTCTTATCTTTATTGCAACAAGTAGTACACAGTTTACAAGCACTTTGTGATTTATTTTTATTGTAATTAACAAAACTTAACATAGCAAATGATTGACTCGTTTGCCAAATGGAACACCTAAGCATTCTTCAACTTTGGTTGTGAAAATAATTTGAAGAAAAACGAAACAATCGTTCGAATTAATTTGATCACACAGTATATCACCAATGCTAAGACACTAAAAATGAATGCCCAAACGTCCAAATTGTACAATTTATAGAATGGCAATTCTACAGCAACACTCTTCAAATGTGGAGCACCCTTATTTTTAGCCACATGCTTGACCCAGTGTATTGCGGTTTTCAATGGAGTCAGCGGTTGGTCGCGGAATCTATCTGAAGTAATCTTAGCTTGTTCGGCGTAGCTGAAAATGATTGTTGGAAGCAAAAAATGAGAATGAAATAATTGCTTGTTGGCGCATTTTTTTCTCTTTTACCTTGGATCGCTAAGTACTTTTGTAAAAGCTGTCGCTATATTTCCTGCTGTTAACGATTGAATAGGAACATTGATAGCAAACCCATGTTGTTCAGCCAAAAACATACTAGAATATGATTAAATTATATCTCTTTAATATATTATGGATAATTAATATTCAAAATCATATCGTACTTAAGGTACAAAGGTCTTACTTTAGATGCTGATCAAAAAGAGTTGAGATGCCAACCATTGGCTTACCGAAATAAATGGCCTCTGAAAATGGAAAATTCGTATGATTTCAAAGAATTCGAATCAAATTTCATGGTGTATTTTACCGGTTGTACTCAAAATACCGCCATGAGTAACAAAAAGTTTTGTATTTTCATGAGCCAGTATTGATTGTTGATCAACCCACGATTCGATTAAAACGTCATTTTTATTATGCGAAGGAATGATTACGTTTCCATGGTCCTTTATCAAAATACGATGATTAGGGTACAATCCAAGGGCACCTACAATAGCATCCAACTGCGGTTTTGGCAGCATGCTCAGTAAAATATATGAACCGAATGATACAAAGATCACACCATCCTTTGCTTCGTCCAAGAATTTTTGGATTTTCGGTGGTAGAGGGTTGACTTCCTTTTTAATTTGCATACCACCGACTTCAATAATATTCGGTGCGTATGGTCGTGGTGATCCGATAGTTGTGTGAGTGTTTAACAGCACTAAAGAGACGTTTTTCCTGAGTTCAAAAAGTGAAGGCCAATTTTTGGCTTCAGGAAAAAGTGTTTCCATCACTTTCTGCTGGTCGGGTATGTAGTCATAATGTGCAACAATTTCTTCAAACCAGAAAGATACCGAGTTGTACATGCGTTGCCAGAAGTTCATTCGATCCGTGAACTGGCTATGAACGTTTGGTACATAGGATGGGAAATTTTGTATGCCAACCAGATCGTTCGTCCATTTCGTTGCACCATACGGAGAAAGTCCAATGACAGGAGCATTGAAATACTGACCAAAGCCGATTAAATAATCGCTCGAGCATATTTCTACAATGACCGCATCGAAGTGTTGCTTCGTTTTCAGGAAATTCTGTAGATTTTGGCTGGAAATTGTCACATTCGCGAATATACTGCCAACTTTTAAATTCCTCCACGTCAAGTACATACTGTTGTATGTTAGCAAAGCTCCCACACCATTTTTGGCCGACTCTAAAAAAATAAAATGTTTCGAACTGATCACTGATTGACTCTAGGAAATTTAAAATATTACGTTTTTGAATAAACTCCCAAACATTTTCAAGAAACACTTCAGTGTAGTTTGCAATCGGTTTTTTCTCTTGAAATGGACTGATCACCGTTACTTGATGACCATCTTCAGCTAACCCCTTCATCAGATTGTATCCGATGGAGTAGTGGGATTTTAATGGCGTTTGCAGAAATGCCAAAATTCTATAAGCACACACATGGTGGTGGGAGATACACAATAAAAGTAACACTATAGTGTTAGCTAAAGAAATCTTCATCTTTGCAACTGAGTGAATTTCTGGTTCAAGTTAGACTAGGTCTTATTTGGCAAATGAGCGCATTTATACCGAAATTTTATCTAATCATTTATTGGCAAAGATTTATAGATATTCCGGAAATGTTCACTTTAACAATACGGAAATTTATATTTAAAAATCCAAACAATAAAATAAATCACACGCAAGATATGCAAATAAATTTCCGCATAATGTTGATTGTGTTCCATATAAGATTTTAATTTAATTTTTTATTAACACTTGATTGCTACTAAAACTTTATGAGACGTGTACGTCGGATGGAGTACCAAAAGATACGCACATGGATCAAAAGCTACACCATAATCTATTTCAAAGCCAAACATACCTCACTCATTGTATACAAAAGCGTAAACACAACGCGTATAAAGTATAATCTCATTTATAAATTGTACAGCTCAGTTTATGGTAAACCTAAAAGGAAATGCTAAGTGTCCCAATAAGAAGTAAACTATCGCTAGATCGAACTACATCTAATAATCAGAGAAATTTATTGAATCCTTCTTACCAGTAAACGATTAGGAATTATCTCAAAATATTAGCACAAGTTTTGTTTAGAAGTTTGGAAACATTTTTGACCATTTTTCCGTTCAAATACGAGGAACCGTGTGGAAAATTCTATTTTACCCATAGCGATGAAGTTGACATTATATTACTATTTTACAATCGAAAATCGCATATTTTCAAGTTGAAAATTTCAACATCATATAAGGCAGATATTGCGATATTATCGTGCAATATTTGCGTGGGGGCGTCTCACATTCTCTGCCGCCTTGTGTCATACTGAATCAGCGTCCCACCACACAATCACGGGCGAACAACATAACAGAATACTTGCAACGTACGCTTCCGTTCGTTTCTTCCTATGTGTATGGCTATGGCGGTACGTTGTGCGTCTTAACGAGGAATAATCACTTGCTTAGGTAAAAACATAAGAAATAAAGTCATCTACAAGGAAGATTGTTTTTGTTGTATGAAAATATCAAATGTATGCGATTTCACATTATTTAATGACAAATATCGATAACCATATTATGTAGAACCATATTTGATACGTTTTATTTACTTTTGGAAATACGGATGGCTATATGTCTGGAATTCTTAAAGTATTTTCGGTGAAACTTGATGGTTTACGCTTCAAAAATGGCTTGAACTATGTGTGCATAGTTACAATATTACAGCTGTCACTTTATTAACATATTAATAATTTATTAACATATTTTTTTATTAACATATTAATAATTTATTAATATTTTAATAAAATGAATTTTTTATTAACGTTAATAAAATATAGTGCATTTTATTAACATATTAATAATTATTAGTATGGTAAATTTTCGGTTATTAATGGTGTAGATTTTATTAAAATGTTAATAAAATGTTGTTATTAATATGTTGTCGATTTTATTAGAATTCTAATAAAATTGACAACATATTAATAACGATATTTTATTAGAATTTTAATAAAATCGACAATTTTTTTATTAGAATTTTAATAAAATGTGGTTATTAATATGGTGCCGATTTTATTAGAATTCTAATAAATTCGACAACATATTGGATTTCATCCGATTTTATCAACGGACGACATCATGTTCACATCAAAGTCTTTTCAACACAGCGTTTAGATTAAGACAATCATTTATCACCACAAAATCTCAAAGAAAAACGAGTCTGGAGATATTCGACATGTTTTTTGTATGAAACTTTTC